CAAAAACAAAAGCAAGAAATCTGACCACTTAAACAAAGTTTTCTCATCCTTCTGTAACAAGAAGCTGAGGGGGAGCAGTGGTTTACATGCATGATGGTGTCAGTCTGCGTGTTTGCAGTTCACACACCCTCATGACTTCATGGTTGCTGGCCACCACAACCACTGAAAGCAGGGAGGGAAGAGCAGCATCATCTTACTGTGCCAGAAAATCAAAGACGATCCCAGAGGTGGTTGACCTGACTTCTGCACAGAAGCTAGAGGAAAAGGACAGAGGGAGGGCGAGACAACACAGAAAGATGTCCATGTGCAGGCCACTGGAACAACTTCGTGGCCACTGAGATGCACTGGAGTGGCAGTTCTGTCAGGATAGAGAGTCTACATGCGGCTCTGCCTTACACCCCGAGTCGACTTTCATGTGTCTGTTAGTCTCTTCATGCCATAGTGTCTTCATGGAGAAAATGGAAAGAAAGAGTATCCCAAACAATGCCTGACAAGGCAAGGACTCACTGTGTCATCCATTGTTTTGATTAAATCAAGCACTCACAGAATCTTCAAGCAAATTACACTATCTAATTTTTATAACGGAAAATTGTGTTTAAGGTGCTCTATAATTAAAACATTGTCAAACTGTACTTTCTAAAACCACTCGTGTCTATAATTTTCAAATTGTGAGCTGAAAATAATTCTGATTCCAAACATCAATATCAAATCAAAATAAAAAGGGAGATGTACAGAGCAACATGATTTTGCTTGCAAGTTCATCTGACCCCAACCCCCCAAACCCCCCATTTTGTCACCATTGACTTCCACTGGGCTGTTTAACTCAGGAAGCACTCCCTGGAAGTTCTTTTCCATGTAAGGGTAATTCAGAGACTAGGCTGAATGCCCTGTGATGGGACCCAAATAGAACACGAGCAACTTACACAGCGACACTAAAACCAGCACTCACAACATTTTGCTATTGTCTTCTTTTTGTTTGTATAGTACACCCTCAGAGACAGAGGTAGAGATAAAGAACTTCAACCTGCTTCACTATCCAGAAAGGCCACACCAGCTCAGAGTACACCAGGTCACAGGTAGGAAAGCGGTATTCACTCCAGTCTCCAGTGTGGGTGACTGGGATCTATCCCATGAGCCATCACTGCTGCATCCCAGATCTGCAGAAACAGAAAGCTGAGTCAGATACAGAGCTGGGGTGGGAACCCAGGCACTCAAACCTGGGACATGGGAATCCCAAACAGGATTTTAAATGCTAGATGACAATTCCTGCCCCGCCCCAACACACCCCCTTTTTTAAAGTAAATTTTATCCTGTATTTTTAAGGTATACATCATTATGCCATGTGATACATACATATAAAATGATTACTGCAGTGGAACAAATGAACATATCCATGGTCTCACATAGTCACCCACTTTCCTCCCTATGCAAGGGAAGCTATAATCTACTCACTTAACAATAATTTTGGATACAGCGCACTATTATTAAGTGCAATTCTTACGTTATACAGTGGCTCTTTCAGATTGTTCATCAGACATTTGTTTTTGAATATATTCTTTGATCACCTCATTTCATCTTCAGTACTGACCTTGAAAACCACTGTTTGATTCTCCATCTCTATGTATCTCATCTTTTATTTATCCATTTTATATTCCATTTACAAGCGAGATCATGCATCGTTCTTTCTGGGCCTAGCTCATTCCCCTTAGCATAACTCTCCCAAAGGCCATTTCTCCCCCGATGGACTGAATTGGTCAGCTGGACTCTACATGCTTCTACTAATCTGTGACTAATCAGCTGACTCTAATATAATGCTAATATCTATGGAAACAGACTGGATTCCTCCAGATAACTGTGCATAAAAGTAGCTATGCCCAAGGCAAACTCAAAAGCAGCCCTTGCCCAGGATCTGATCGCTGGAACCCAAGCCTGAACATGAAGGACACTGGAGGATACTTCTATCACTAGTGCCTAAGATGGATAAAATTCCAGTGCTGGATATCCGAAGTGGTCATTTTCCTCATGCCATCATCTGCCATGTGGAAGTGATTCCCACACCTTCTCACACCTTTTCCCACTAGGAGATGGTCTGTCAGAATCTCTCCCCTAATAAAATACTTTGCCTGGGCTACAAGTCTCTCTCTACAAGTCTCTCTCTTTCTCTCTCTCTCTTTTTCCCTAATAATAAGCAATGGAGCATCTGCAGAAGATGATGGAATCCTTCCTCCTGGGGTCCTGCTGAACATTAGAGTGGTGTCTTTAAATTCCAACCAATACCAACTAAAAGTGGAAAACTTCTGGCAAATTTCACCACATCCAGCCTGAGCCAGTGAAGATTTCAAAATTTCTAATTTAAACACATTATGAGGCTTTAAAAGAATGCTTAGGAGGAACGCATCTAAACGCTATCTCACATGTGCATCCACTGGCAGCACTGCTGAGAGTCCAACAAGGTACTCTGTGAGGAAGAAATCACCAGCCAATGCATTTACAGCCAATGTGTCTACACTGCCTTTGAACCCCTCTACCTGCTTCTTTCTGGACATTCATTCTTTCCCCAAATTGGAGGTCCTCACCAATATGCAGGAAAGGGCACTTAGACATTAATTGCATTGATATTTCACAGCCCACAAAGGAGTCTCCAGGAACCTAAAATAACGAGAAATTGATTATTCAATAGCCATTACAAAAATTCAAGATAGGCAGTGGCAAGATTAATTGTAGTCCGATACATCAGACCAGGAACTTGTAGACAGCTTATCTTAAGATGCTCCCCAAAGACTACTTCCTTCTTCCTTTTAGGAGACTTTATTCCAGGCATAGATCCTCTTAAGTCACTTGTAATTCTTTCCCCAGGATCCTAGCTGGTAGAATAACTACTGAAAAGAAGACCAATTCAGAAAAGAGAAAATGCATTTTGTGCTTCATAACAATTAGGTTCCTTCATTGTTTCTGAAATGATGACATCTTGGAAATAGTATATCATGGTAAGGGATGAACTGAAACAGATTGAGTGTGCTGGTAAAAGGGGTGTTGGCAATGAAAAGGAAGGAGGAGGAGAACTGGCAAACTTCAGAGTTAAAAGAATCTTAGATAATACTTGATTTCAGGTGCCATCCAATCTCCTAGAACATGGATATTAGTGATTTATTTTGCTTAAACAATTGTCAGCTGATTTTCTAAGCAGAAGCTTCCAGTTAGTGGTGTGCTCAATGGTGAACAGAGCTTCTGTTGCCTCCCTGGCTCCACGATCCGTTCCTCATGAAGGGTGGCTCCCTCAGGGTCACCTGGGAGCTAATCCTCACCAAGTTGCAGAACAGGATGTGCCCAGGGTCTTCTCCTGGATAACAACATGTTTAATAATGGCACAAGGGGCGAAAGTCACCTGGTTTGCCAGCGCAGGGATTAATAACGACAGGGCTACAGAGAGCCAAGAGAGCTGAGCTTCAGGACACAGGTCCTAACTTATGATATGGGAGATTTTTGAAAGTTATTTTTAAAATTTCAACTCATTTTCTTACTTTAAATGTCTTAAGCATTTAAGGCAGCCATTGTCTGAGTTCCAGCATTCACAGTTGAACATTAACTGCTTATATTATAATCCACACAGCACAACATTTTAACTATTTTTAAAGCAGTGAATTCAATTCCCTACAAGCACCCATCCCCCCACCAAGTGTTTTGTGTTTAGGTTTTTGTCATTATTTCATAGGTGGTACCTTTTGATGAGTGGAAATTCTACCAGATCCTTCTTCCAACATTGATTCAGGTTATATATGTGTATATGTCTGTGCTATTTTAAGGAGTGGGGTAGACAGGGGTCAGTGCCTCTTGCACACACACAACTACGGATTTTCTTATCTCTGTACCTTTCTGTTTTCGAGTGAGCTGGTGTGAGCAGAAAAGTATCCACTAATTCTGATGGCAGGCTTGCTACACAATGCTGCAAGGAGCACCTCATCTGTCTAAAGGATGGGCCCAGTAATGTCAAGAGTAAGGCAAGTGCTTCCCATTCAATGATGCAGTTTAGATGACGGGAGCTTCACCCAGAATTGTGTTCACATAACGTCGGATTAGAAGCAGCAGACACAGTTGGAAGCAGGAAGTTAAACACACTCTCCCGTGTGTGGCAGAGCTTTATAACTGGAAACACGCTGATTCAAGGATTGGGGGAATTTCATATGGAGGAATCAGCACTCCTTGTAAATGTGAACTGCTAATTATGCAAGGGTTAGTTTCATAAAATAGAATTTAAAAGTGTTTTATTTCAAGTCTTAAAGTCCCACCAATAATTATTTCCAACAGCCAGTGTGTTCAACTCTGAGGAAGTGATACTTGCCCTCTCGTCCTCTCTGTCCCTGTCCCCTAATGGGGTGCCCAGTAGCCCCACTGGACAGTGACAGATGGAAGCAGCACATGCTGCCAGTTAGCAACTTGTTCTTGGGAAGCTGACAGCTTCATTTTGCTTTCCATTTCAAAAATACTATTTTGACCAACTGGTAATAGAGAATTCTTATTGCTGCTGAATATATTTCAAATGGCTTTGTTAGAGTAACTGGGTCAGTGTTCAAAGAATTAAGAAGTATGTAATTTTTAAAAATAAAAGTCCCATTAAGACGATGATCACAACCATGCTTATGTGAGACAGTACTTTAGTCAGCGTTATCATAATGTGGTGCAACATTCTGGTGAGATTTGGGGGCTCCAAGCATTCATACATCTTACCTATAACTTTCATTGCACTCATTTTTATAAGCTTTCTGTAGGATTTCAAATGTTAGGCAGTAAGTCACAGTTCCTAGACATTACATTCCTGGTGACAGGGTTATTTGTTATTCTTTTCTAATCACAGTAGAGATGAGCAGTGCTCAAGCTGGCCAGCCAGCACTCGGCGCTGGGCAGATCACTGCAGAGAATCACGGGTGTCCCACTTTGTAACATGCTCGACAGGAATTTAAGAATCTACCCATTCACGGAGTCTGAAAAATTACACATGAGCAAAAGGTTTGATAAAAAATATATATTTAAAAGAAACAAGAAAAATAGTTGTAGCCTCAATGATAACTTTCATCGTTCTCTTAAATTAAGTAGGTTAAATTATATGTATAATGATCTCAAGTACTAACATATAAAAGATGTGGCAAATCGAAAAACAAAGAACAAGAGAACTCCCTTTTTTCAGAAAATGTATTTGCAATTCAAATGTTCATACAAAAAGCATAAATTTTAAAAAGTTCGTAGATGTGTGTTTTTAGAAGTGCTATGGTTTCACCGTTCACTGCAATTACATTCCCGAGTGTGCTGGGCGTCCCGCACTGCATCATCACGTATCTTTGTCACACGGAAGTCACTCTCATCACAACCTCCCCCGAGCTGTTATCTTCTGACAAATCTTCATGAGGCCGCATCCGACTGAACAGATGCAACAACATGTAGCCACACTGGAACCTTGGCGAGGTTAACTGTGTTGGGTGGACCAAGTTTCTGTTTCGCAGAGCTGTCAGTGGCAACCACAAAGTCCTACTTGTGGAAGACTCTCCCCGGCTACTTTCTTCGATGTCTGTGGCTTTGTCATAATTTAATACATCCCAGTGCAAGTTCACAGCTCGCCAGCGCTTAAATACTCTGTAAACTGCGGCTCCTTCGTGGACAATGAGTCCTAAAATTCGAGGGAAAAAAAAAGCAGTGAAAATCAAAGGATGTGCTACTTTCCATACAATCAAAGGATTCAAGAAATAGTCAACTCTCTGTTATGCAGCTTTAACATCAAAGAATACGATTTTGACAACTTAAATATTTTGGTCAATGACAAGCCACAACCTCTAGTATATAGACACAGTCAGTATTCCGAGAGTGAGAGCGCAGTAAGGAGAGTTTAGCCACCATGGAAATGAGCTACTTGCTTCATCATGCCTCAGAACGTGCTTCGTGCACTGACACTCTTCGGAAAGTCATTAGGCTTATTTCTTGATTCAACATTTTGTCCATTGCATGCCAACAAATGTGTTAGAAGGTTGGATGCAGCTGATGACATAATTTTGGAAAAAGACAAATATTAAATATTAATGACATCATTACCTCCCCAGTTTCTTACGCAATTCCTGTGCCGGGCAGACACAATGTAATCTCTTGCCATTTATATTCCCAACAAGTCAACAACAACAACAATCATGAAACACCTACTTGAGAGAGGTGTGTGTATCATCTCATTCAGTTATGTCATAGGGAATAGCATCTCTCCCATTTTCTACAAAGGCAACCAAGCCAGGGATGCTGAGAAACTTGTTCAAGGGGATACAATTGGAAGTTGGAGAGCAGGGATCTCAATTTAGGCAGCCTGGCTCTAGTGCTCTTGCTTGGCCCTGTTATAAAGTGCATCAGATACCTACATGTCTCTGAAAAAATAAACCAGGTACGCTGAGAAACTCTGCAATTATAGGCCAAATATGGAGCCAGGGGACCTGGGACATTTCCACTGTCCACTCCAGAACCATCGTGCACCTTGCATTCTTCACCTGCTGTCACTCCGGCCTGTGACCCAGATGCATGTGGTTTTTGCCACCTGCCCCCACAATGTGGAGCCCTCAGGGAAGTCTTTTTCAGAGAAAGAAATAAGAAGAGCACTTCTCTTCCAGGTGCACCTTCCATTGCAAGTTAGTGGAGAAGCTGATAAAGTGTCTTTTTTTTTTTTTTAAGATGTAGGAGGGATCTGAAAATACAGCATGCCAGATATCCCAATAATGTATTTAATGTGAAAACAAAGAGATGCTTCCCAGCATCTAGACCCTTGAGAATCTGCTTTAGGAAATCTCGCACAAATCTGAGAATGCAAAGATATTTAGATATTGTATAGTTCTTTGTATTTGAGAAAACACAAATCACAGGCAACCTAGATGCCCATCATCAGACAAATGGGTAAAAATTTCAGAATTTGGAGTCAGTGGAATAGAGGCGAACCGATTCATATGTAGCATCATGGATAATCTCAAAATTCTAGTGAAAACCTCAAAGCCATAGCAGAAAAATTAAAATTTCAGAAAAAAATTTGGTTGGTTGAAGAAATCCAACACATTTTTTGTAGCTATACATGGATGATAAACATACGAACGTGCCACAGAACACGTGGCACGGAAGAAGTGACTCTGCAAGGAAATTCACAGAGGGCATTCAGCTCCATCACAATGGCAGCAGTTCTAGAACTCGTGGTGGGGAAGTACATTATTCTGCATGTTTCTGTTCTTAAGTAATTAAAAATCACATATTTATATGGCAAATTGATCCAAGATGGACTGAGGACGTTAGGGAGACAAACAAGGCTATCATTTATATCAGCAGGGCAGATAGCAGCAGTGTGGGGGAACAAAGTCCTGAAGAACAGGCAGAAGCCGGAAAAGAAAGAGGGAAGCATACAAGGGCCGTGTTTGAGGCTGGAGGAGCGGGGGACTCCAAGGACGGCACGCTTTGGGTGCATTATTTACAGGATTTTTTTTGTCAGCCAAACAATACGAGGTAGATTACAGAAACAACTAGTCCCCGAAAAACACACCCATTGCTTGTAAGGTTGACATTACTCCCCTCTCAACAAAAAATACTTCCGAAATATGTGACAGTCCAATGATGTTAAGACAGGCCATGCAATCACGTCTACTAGCTAACACATAAAAGTGTCTTAAGTTCAATTTTGTACAGTAACAAAACAGTGACATAAATGTGTGCTCATCATTTCAAATAATTGTTTAACTTATTTCTCCAAAGGAATAATTCAAGTTCACTTTTTTTTGGGGGGGGGGAAATTAAGTTAGAAGTTCAGGACTTGAAGGTTTTATTGGTGATGCTATTATAGGCTTTCTGAACTCTCCACGGTCAATGATTGAACTTTTTGGGTTCTATTTTTCTTTCATAACATGTAATTGGAATAATTTATCTTTACAATCATCAGGGTGGCAATGAGAGATTAAAATTCATCAACTATATAGCATTCAGATTTTATCTGAGATGGTAATTCTATGCACATATTACTAATTAACTCGATAGTGGATCTATCTGGGGAGGATTATTCATTCACACTCATCTCACAGCTACTGCATCCTGATTCTGGTTCATTCTGAGTAAGTGCAGCCGTGGGTGTGGCTAGGTAATGACTTCCTCGAAGAAAGTCACTCATTTCACAGGATCTTTCTCTTTGAAAGGCTAGATAGAAATCAGATCACTCACTAGAGTTTAAAGTCACTTTCCACTGATGAAGTCTTCTAAATATGTAAATCTACCTAATGTGCAGGATAAATTCCATAGGTCTTTAAGACACATTTTAAACTGAAGTTAAAGAGAGGAAACCATTTGATCTCTTTGTGAAGACCACGTCCTCTTCCTTTCTGACTACCTAGGCACTGGGTTGACGCTAACTGGATTTTCTTTTCATGAGTGTTTGGAATTATCTCTGCCCTCTAGAAGTTTAAATTTTGCTGAAGTAAAACGGACTCCTTCCCACCCCCAAGTTTGTTCTCTGTAATGAACATTTTCCTCATTCTTCTTTAAACTCCTAAAGTGCTATAAGAAAAAGGGATTTATAAAAATTTATAGTAATGCAAATTGTGTCTGATATCAAATATCAACCCACTAGTCAAAAATTGTATTTCTTATAAATCAATCTTAATTTTGTTTGGTAGGTTTGCATGTGTTTGCATAATTTTAAGCTAAATTGTTCCAAGAACTATGTTAAGAGCTTGCTATGTACAATTTTACTTTAATCTTGATAATAATTCTACACATACATATTATTAATGAACAGTTTCACATGGGGAACCTCCAACATTTAATAACTTGTTCAATAGCATGAAGATAGGAGAAGCAGAGCTGACACTAGAGCACAACTTTATCCCCACGTAAACCCTGAGCCAGAAAAAGAAGCTCTTGGTTGTTAAAAGGTCCAAGATTCCTGCCCCATTTCCGAGTAGCATAGGGTCTTAAAAGTATATTAGGTTTTACAGTTTTTTGATGTAGATCATAAGCAGTCTGACTCACATTGATTATTGGTTCATTGGTTACAGATGATGAAATATACAGCAAAAGAGGTTAATAAAATTCATTGGAGAATTGCTGTATCATCCAAGTTTCTACCCAACAGTATTTGAAGAACAAAGAACAAGCCTAATCATTTTTACAACTAAAAAGATATCCTCAAGTTCTCCTGTAACTAGGAATGGACCGAATCAGTTCAGTTCTGTCACTCAAGTCCCAGACAGAGGAAGCACCCTGCAGCATCGGAGTGGCATTGTCCACCAGGGGAAGCAGAAGAGCATGAAAAGCCGGCCGATATGCAGTCAGCAGATTTCAAAACTAAAACCATGTTGGGCATAGTCGGACCCAACCCTTGTGTTGTGGGTGATGAGAGCTCTGAGACTCAGAGAAGAAACATGGGGGTGAGCTGCCCCGTGATCCATTGTGGACTGGAATCCAAGCCTAGAATTAAAGCCAGACCCTCGAGGCCTGTTTCAGGGAGCCCTTTCTGCAACAAAGCAGACCCCAGAACCCTTTTCTGGCTAAAGCTGGTCATTACTAATACTTCTTCAGTCCACTGAATGGTAAGCAATACTAACTACAAAGTAGGCAGAGTCACAGCGAGTGCCTAGTCATGCTAAGCCTGAGTTTTTATTTGTTCTTTATCCCAAAGGGCACATGGCAACATTTGGAGAGCAGACAGATTATAGCAACCTTCCCAATTAGTAAAAATAAAGAACTCCGCAAACTCTGAGAAGAGTATCTCATTTTAAAAGGTTATTATTAATAACCTACATGAGTTATCCATGTTACTTAAAGCTTTTAGAACTGGGAATAGCATTTGCAGAATTTCCATTTGTTTCCTACACTGTAACTTAGGGACCAGAGCCAACAATTTTGAGACTATTAGCAGACGTTTCCCAGTCACAAGTGGAAATACATATGCATACAACTAATTTTCTGTTCCTTCCCAATGGATATACTGTCCTCTGCCAACTCACATAGCATGATGTTAATAATCTTCAGAGTAAACCACACACGTATCAGTTGTTCTATTTTGCGGAGTGTGAATAATATTTAGATACCTTTAAATTGAAATGTCTAATTAAATCCTGTTTATCTTTGTGACTTGTAATAGGCTACTTCATTTTTGTTGGCTTCATTTTTCACCACTCTTAAATTGTACTGCCAGTGCAAGATCCAAACAGAAGCTTTCATCCAGGCATAATTAAAATGTCTTATCTTTTATTCCCTATCTTGAAAATAACAAATGTTCAGAGTTTAGTTTCCTAATAGTCTATCTTGTGATATAGTGTGAAAACACAAGAGTGACACACAATTCTTCAAATCCTTCTAATTAAGAAACCGTTTCACATGGAATACTGTGAAGTGGCTTTGGTCTGCTGCATCCCACGCTTTCCAATTCTCTCCATTCATGTTTCCATATGTTTGGGACCCCCTGATGTATTAGAGCAAATTAGCAAAACTAACTACATTATTTTTTATGTTAGGGAAAGAACAGAACTCCATTACTGATCTGAAATCAGCTCCCAAAGGGGTATACCTTCTGCTATGCTTTGGTTTTAAGACAGTAATCTGTGTAGTTTCACTTTATTGTACAACGATGCTTTTTAATTTATTCAAGTCCTGTCTCCAATTAAC